ACTTTTCCTTGGAAGACGGTGGCAATGAATTATTGATTTCCTTATATTGGTTTAAACTAGTGTTGTGTGTATAGAGAATTCATTGCCATATTAGGATTTTAGAAGTTATTCATGGTGATATGTCAATCTTGATGTAATTGAATCTTTGTATTTGATACTACCAAATCGTATTTCCGTCTTCCTGAAATGTTTTTTTTTTGGAGAAAATCCTGATGAAGCTATTAAACAATGACAAAAAGTTGATTTATTGAAAGTTGTTTTTTCTCTATGACTGTTAATCTATGGTGGATTGTGACAGCAAACTCAATATTTCGTCCCCTAGCAAGCTTTGTTTTTTTGCAGATTGTACAAATTGCTACAAAGTTCCGCAAAAAGAATGAATCATCTTTATGTCAGAGACATTATCAGACTGCCTAAGTGACTATATTTATTTTATTTTTATTTTATTTTTTTATTTTATTTTTTTTTTTATTCATTACAACACCCTACAGTAAATACCAATTACAGGGTGAGGAAACACAGAACACAACACAGATATAAAAGACAATAATAAGTAATAAGTAATAGACTACAAAGTGTAAAAGATACATGCTGGTTACTTAATAGTATTTTTTATGTCTGCAATTCTGCAGTTAAATATATCAATCCTGTTACTTGCAGAATTGTAATTCCTACACATCACATGTAAAGGGGAATAGTGTAAATAATTTGTCCGTGCCGCAGGTAGATAAAACGTAACGTTTTGTCGGGATGTCAGCCTAGGTACGTTAAATGATAACTGACCCAATAAAGCTAAATCATAACTAGCATTATTGATCAACTTAAATAGAAAAATCACTGACTGGCAAGTGCGCCTTGCTTCAAGACTGCTGATTAGATGTTTTTCAAGTAAGGAATCATGAGGTATACCTATGGGCGGGTAAACGCCATCCACTTTCAGTGACAAATATTTTAAGAAACGTCTTTGAACACATTCAAGCCTACTTATATGAATAATATGATGCGGATTCCAAATTAGCAATGCATACTCAAGCTTCGACCTAACATATGCATAATACAGCAACTTCAAGGTGGTACTCTGAGTGAAGTCACGGCAGTTTCTTACAATAAAGCTGTACATGCGGTTTGCCTCGGAAATTTTGCTGTCAATGTGTTTGACGAATGTTAGTTGGGAGTCAAATGTCACGCCTAAGTCACATAAAGTTGAAGTCCTCTGAATAGGTATAGTCAAATAACAGAGGATTTTTCTTCAAAGTGTAAGACATTACGTAACATTTATTGATGTTTAATGACAGATTGTTTTGTGAGCACCAAGCATCCAACCTGACCAGATTTTCTAAAAGTTGATCACAGTCTGATTCATCAACTACACGACAAAACATCTTCAGATCATCAGCGTAAAGTAAACAATTCTCGCCAACAGCATTGACTATGTCATTCACAAATATGACGAACAATAAAGGCCCTAGGTTACTGCCTTGTGGCACTCCGGAATTGGCTACATACTTCGACGATCTGATGCCATTAAACATCACAAATTGATTTCTTCCAGTGAGGTAGGACTTAAATGGTTGTATTAAAGGATCGGATAATCCATGAGATTTCAGCTTATGCAATAGCATCCTGTGATCAACTCTGTCGAAAGCCTTGGAGAAGTCTGTGTAGACCACATCTGTTTGTAATCCTCTGTCAATGTTTTCTGCTATGGTCTGTGTGAAGTTCATCAGATTTGATACTGTTGAGCGCTCTTTCATGAAACCATGTTGTTGAACACATATTTTTCTGCTGACATGATGATATAGTCTGTTATATATTAATATCTCTAGAGCTTTTGAAAAATTGCACAATATTGATATAGGTCTAAAATTTGATACATCATTCCTACTGCCGTTTTTGTGTATTGGACATACTTTAGACAACTTCCATAGTTCTGGAATTGTGCAGGTGGTAAGGCACAAGTTGAATAAAACGGTCAAAGGATACGCCAACACAGAGGCACAGTCACGCAAAATAAAAGCTGGTACATTATCCGGTCCGGTAGTCATCTTAGGTTTTATTTGCTTCAAGGCTAAGACAACTTCATCCTCCTCAAATCGAGTAATATTGAGTGGTTGTTCATTGCTCATTAAAAAGTCATCAGTTTCTTCGGTGGCTGACGAAGACGAGTAGTATTTGGAGAAGTTATCCGCAAAAGCATTTAATATGTCGTTCGGTTCCAAAAGTTCATTACCATTGTAAATCATCCTACTTGATAAGTTTGTTGATTTTCGCTTAGAATTTAAGAAGCCCCAAAATTTATTCGAATCTCTTTGTATTTCGTTCTCAGCTTGTCTGACATATATTTTGTATGCTTCATCTGACTCTATCCTAATTTTTGATCTAAGTTCCCTGAATGTCTGATACGTTTTAGGATCATTGTTGCGTCTATAAGATCGGTGAATCTTCTCCTTGCGCTTGATAAGCTTAATTATTGCTGAATTGAACCAGGGTGGGTATTTACGTTTCGTTGCTCGGACATATTTTGGAACACAGGTATCAAAAGCATTGTACAGTTTATTATAAAAGAACTCACACGCTTCATTCGCGTCATGAAAGCCATCTAAAGCAGCCCAATCCATGTCTGAAATTAAATTATATAATTGGGGGAAGTTGGCTTTGCGGAAATTATAAGAATTTATAAATGAAACAGGAAAGTTATGCTTAGTATTGAGACTGCTGTTGACATTACAACAAATATTCAGGGCAGGGTGATATGGGTCTTCATCTAGCAGCGGATCCCACGAATGTTCAACCTCACACAGACCACTACAGAAAACTAAATCAAGGGTATTGTCCAGAGAATTTGAAATATTGTTAAACTGATTAATAGCAAGACCCTCAGCAAAGTTGTTCAACGATACCAATTTTGCGTTGCGTCCATGACTATTAGCATAAGAAGTGTAGTTAGCTATGTTGTAATCCCCTGTTATAACTAAATTCCTATCAAATAGGACGTGCGATGACAAGATAGCATCATAAAATTGCTCATATTCAGCATTGGGCTTATCAGGTGGTATGTAGACATTGCAAATGTAAACTGAAAAAGAGTTGGTACAAACCTTGACTGCTACTACATCAATCTTTAGGGCAGAAACTACTGCCAACTCAGGTATCTCTATCAAAGATGCTGTAAAACGCTCATCAATCGCAATCAACACACCACCACCTCTTGAGCAACCAGTGGTTACATAATCTCGATCTGTCCGGAACACATTATATGTAGTTGGAATAAATTCACTACTCATACATGAGAAATCTAACCAGGTTTCAGTTATTGCAATGATAGGATATTCACACCTACAAATAGCATTATAAAAAACAGCAGATTTCGTTCGGAGTCCACGAACATTTTGGTAGTATATTAGAGGTTGCAGCCTATCACTACAATTAGAATCTACTCCCTTTTGAGTTACGACGAAGGGATGCATTGGTTGCTACTGACTGAGTAGGTCGTGTCTTAATCTATCAAGGGCTTCATTGTATGCCTTGCATTTCTGCTTATCTCAAACAGCATGATCCGTTTGCACACTACCATCTTTCTGTTTAAGTTTCATACAGTTTGAGCATTTACGAGTCTGTGATTTGCAATGTTTGACCTCATGATTCTCGCTACAGAGTGGGCAAACAACTGCGCTTTTACATTTGCTAGAAGAATGATGGAATTCATTACATTTAAAGCAACGATACACATCAATAGCATCGTAAACAGCGCAATTGTCATACCCCACAAACAAGTAACCAGCTTTAACAATTTTGTCATAACTACTCCTATCCACCTGAACAATAGCTTGATATACAGAAGGGTCTTTTTTAGTAGGAAAGTGCTTAACAATTTTACATTCAAAATCATCTTCGAAGATATCAGTATTTCCTTTTAATAACAAGTGCCGTAATTTATCATCTGAATATTTATCTGACATGCCCACTAGCCGAAACCGCGGGTTAATACCGGTAATTTCACGTATCACATAACTATCTGACAACTTTTCCTGAACAATAGCTTTCAACTTCTGATTTTCTTCCTTTGACTTACAGCCAATAAGAATACCACCATCCCTAACATCCTTCACTTTCGCTAACTGAACTTCCGCAGTACAAGGATTCACATGCTGTATTAGATCAGCTTTGGTTTGCTTGCTTTGATGATTCCCATTTTTTGGCTGAATAATTAATGCTGGCTGGGTCTTATTTCTAACGACCTCGGCATAGGATACTACAGGCTTGTTGACAGAAGGTACTGCATGAGATGATTTCATAGGTCTTGATATATCACCAGATAATTTCGTGACTTGATTCTTGAAAGAAGCCATGGCCTCGTCAATTTTGCCACTCAATAGATTCTTAACATCATCCTGGTTTATTACAATGCAGTTAGGAATGCAGTTCTTACATCTCCAAAACAACCCAGGAACAGTACTTATGACGCCCAGTATATCTGTGTTTGAGATACACAAAGAATGAAACTGCTTCTTACATGCGTCGCAAGAAATAGGTGGCCTTGACCGAGTTACCAATGTTTGGCAAATTTCACAGTTGACCATGATGCAAATTAATAGAAACTGATAGACTTACATATGCTATCTGGTCACCTCAATCAAATGTTATCTATGAACACCTCTTGCATCACTTACGAAAAAAACTGATAATTAATGTCCAGTATTTATCACACAAACTAAGAAATTCGAGAGATAGTATACAACACCAACCGGCCGAGCTAATATTTTCCACGCTACACACATTTGAGATATGGCTGCCCAGATTCTTAAAGTAGCTAATAAAATCCTAGCATTCTATTGGCCTCAAATTTAGTGCTCTGATTATCTGATTTAGGTGGCATTAATTGGTACAGCAAATGTGCTTGACTATATATTTCTTTTGAATGTGCTAGGGGTGTACAGTGTTTCTAATGACTGTATTAGCACTACAACAGGTAAAACACCGCAACCCTGGTACTAATGGGGCTTGAGGTTTGATATCTAGTTCATACTTCATAACTTACAGACACAGACCATTTACACGTAATATTATAAGCAATGAAAATAAATCTATATAGAAAGTATGAAGATCACTATAAAAATGAATCAATCGTCTGAGGCAATTCATTTGAAATAACTTTAGACAATTCTTTCAATATCTTAAAAAATGTTTTCCGGAAATGCAGAGAAAACTGTGCATTTTACATCAGATTCCAAAGCCTCTGTGGCACTGATATGATATTTTGGGTTCTTTCTAATCATTTTGCTTTGAGATATATTTCCATTTGCAGATTAGATATCTGGTAGTTTTGGCTTTCTCCACTTTTCTTTTGGCAATATTAAAATCTCCTGAAAACAAAAATAGTTCAGTTGCAGCAAATACCCAAACTCCAAATTTCCAAATTGTTACAATCCTAAATACTACTGAAGATATGATTGCTAACCATTGCCACCTAATGAACATACTTTATATATTTCCCAGTATATTCATCAGGATCATCCTAATCGTCTATTAACATCAAAGATTTCATTCCTCTACCAACAATCTACCACATCTTCTTTTATCAAGCCAATAATTACTCAAATCACCATTTTATTTGACCTTCATTTTCAACCCTACAACCAGAACATATACTATAACGCTTCAAGTAAAAATGAAAATTACTCTTATTCATTCATCTCAAGAAAACCATCTTTGGACGCTCTTTGTTTTACAATCAAATAATGCACGTTCAGCACAAAATGAACAGATAAATTAAAAGTGAAACAGATTCTATCATCGTTGGCATGGAATTAGTTTATAAAATACTTTGTGATTATAGTTTACACTTGATATGTTTTTGTAATTATTTCAAGTAACATCTCAATAACATAGTGCTGAAACATGATTTTTCATAATGTAAATATCTACCTACGTCAAAAGCTATATAATAAAAATACTCATACACTTTTAGTTCCAAGAAAAATAAGATGAACGTGATCAGCAATTATAGTGGAGAAAATATTTCAACAAAAATGAATTTACACATTCAACAGGTTCTGTTAGAAGTGACTTAATTTAGGTGTAGGTATTACCCATAAGCCCTTTGCTTCCAAAATTACTCATTTTGATAATTTTGTGGTATACCAGCATAAAGGAGTATGCAAGTATGGAACAAATAATGAACCAATAACTTTCGAAATTGTTTCGTTTTATACTGTGGGGAATTACATCCTGGTACAATAGGATATTAGTGACAGATGACACGTTATGACAGCTGCCAGTCAGTTAAGTAAACATTTTTAAATTTATTTCCTTTTAACATTGTCCTGTAAGAGGACAATGGCTTTAAATCATGATACAATGGTGTATTTTCCAACTTGGTGATATTGTCCTATTGATGGCTGAAATCGATTGTTTACACCATTTGTCAATTGGTATACACTGTGCACGCGCTTTTTTTACTCATTTGCTGAAAAATATACATTTGAAATTCATACCACCAAAATGGGTTCATTTAAACTTCATGTATGTCCCTCCGAAAAAATCAGCCAAGAGGAATCAATTTTTTTAAAGGTTCTCATTAGAATGTGACGATATTTTTATCAAGGATAAGCATCAACGCTATTGCCATGCACTAGGGAATTTCATGAAAGTTCACGACTTAGCAACGCTTCTTTATTCCGATCAACAGTGTTGTCTCAATGGTGTACCTGTCTATATTATGTATGTATAGCTGTAGGTCGACATAACTTGGCAACATTGTGGTTCAACAAGGGTCAAACCGTTGACTTTTGACAGTGATAGAGTGGCGTACCCTGTTTCGTGCTATTGATTTTGTGTTATCCGTTTTGTAACCTTTATATATTGAATTTTTTGGAACATTACAACAAAATGTCTGTATATTCTTATCAATTCCGATAGATCTTGGCACGAGGATTCTTTCGTACCAGGCTGCAAGTATTGAAGGTAACATTCGTTCCACTAGGTTATACTGTTGTGAAGATTATTTTGATGTAAGTTTATTAACAGAGCTAAAGTTTTTCAAATTATATTAAATCTCGGTTTATTCTCAGTTGGCAAATGATGCAGAAAACTGGCAATATTACAAGACAATTGGGCAGAGGTTACGACTAAAACCCGGCGTGAAACCACACAGGAACCTGTCGGTTCAGAGTTTAGGTACGTCACAATTGAGTCCACCATCAAAAAAGAGGAAAGCTGAGATGTTAGAAACATTAGGAAAAAAGCTTCACTGCAAGAGAAAACCAAGGGCAAAATTATTTGATGAATTGCAGCCAGGTACAAGCAGAGATCTGCACCATGATGAATCTTGCCAGCAAAACTCGAGTATGCTACCCCTGAAGAAAGCAACCAGTGGAGTCCAAGTTAAAGTTGATACGAAAACAGTGTCAACCAGCACACTACCAAATACTGCATAGGGATTTGTAGTGATAGCACTAATGGCTCAAGTGGTAGTTCCTCCCGCAGCTATCAAGCACTTCATCAGGAAGCAATGGAGCAAGTCTGAAGATATCAAAAGAGGAACTAGAAATATCTAAATTAGAGAACAATAGTCGGTTTTTCTTAGGTTTGCCTGAAGACTGTTCCTATATTGTAAATTTATTAGTTGAAGAAGGTGGACTGGATTACATTGATGTTTTGATCACAATGAAAAAAATTAGGACAAATGATCAGTTTTCAGGAATAGGAATTGGTTTTGGTAAAAGCACAAATGGCATTTCTAAAATGTTTAATAAAACTGTTGTAGTAATAGCTCCTTTAATGACACAGTTGATTGTTTGGCCTCCCAGTTGGAAAATCAAAAAATTATAAGATTAAACGAACTTACCTAAGTGAAGTTTGATCGTAATTATATGACCGTCTCTTCCGAATAGATCACTCTCGCCGCTAGGTGGCGCCACTCATTCCAAAGCTAAATAAAATAACATCTGACCGGTCCTACCCTCGCGTACCACCGAACGCTGTTGATGATTCATTATTTCAAAGCAGTAACTGTTGCGTTAGAATAGATCACGGGTACTGGGAGGGAGGGAGTGATCTATTCGGAAGAGACGGTCATATAATTACGATCAAACTTCACTTAGGTAAGTTCGTTTAATCTTATAATTATATTACCCGTCTCTTCCTCTAGATCACTATGTAGATGTTTAAAGTTGATTCTGCAACAGTTACAGGAGAATAAAAGAAAGAGGGAAGTAGTAACTACTCTCTTTAATCTCCAACATTCTTATGAGAGACAACCATCCATGTGCGAAAACTTATTCTAACTGTTACAACTGTAAACTATTCACTGTAGTCTGAGAATTGCGTCTGCAAAATTGTCAGTATTTTTTACAGGTCTGTTATAAAATCTTGCAAACACATTTGATGACGAAGTCCAACTTGCTGTATTGCGTATTGTATCGATGTTGATACCCCTGTTGACAGCTGCTGACGTGGACGCGTGTCTAGTACTATGTGCTGTAAAGATCGATGTGTCAATTCCACTTTTGTCCAGCACTATGCGAATCCAACGACAAATGGACTGTGCCGTTGCTTCCTTATAAGGTTTCTTATGAGTCAGAAAAAGTTTCGAGAGCTTACCAGACTGCCAGACATAGTTTTGGGTTATTGTGAAAAAATGGCAGTATCAGTAAAGGTTGGTATCTATTTGGGGCAGAGGTTTTAACTGTTGCCGGGACTTTTATTTCTATTTTTGATTCCGATATTTCGATATTTGGTACCTCTATAACTGAAAATGTTTGTACTCTGTGTGCCGTAACCAGGGCCATCAACATCGATAATTTATGTGTCAACGCCTCTAGACTAATTGTATTATTAGGGTAACATGTTTCCAGATAACCTAAAACCACAGCCGGATCCCACGTTACATGATATTTAGGCAAAGGTGGTCGTAATTTGAAAACGCCTTTGAAAAATCTTTTGATCTGGTGGTCTTCGCCAACTCGAGGTGACATAAGCAAGGATAAAGCCGATCTTGTTGTATTCAACGAACTATATGATCGGCCTTGGCCATACAAGCGCGACAAGAAACATAGTATAGCCTGGCTATTTAGTTCAAAACAGTTTATGTTACGTTGGTGACAGAATTCCCACCATAGTTTCAATCCGTTGGTGTATTGCTTCAGTGACGACTGTGCTAAAGATGAAACTGATATCTCCACTGCCTCCTCAGGGATTCCATTATTTATCATTGCCTGCCTGATAATAGCCCTGCTTCCAGGGAAAGTTTCCGGTGTAGCGCATGGGGTGTTCTGTCAATGGATAACAATAAATTTATGTTAGGAGAGAAAACTATTGATTTCTTTACAAGCAGTGATTTGAATAGAGGGTACCATGGTTGACTGGGCCAGCACGGTACTACGACAATACCCTTCGTTTTGTCTGTAATTATTTTCTGTAGCACTTTAGCCACTAGGGAAAAAGGCGGGAATGCATAAAATTTGTAATTAGTCCAGCAAGTTGTAAACGCGTCGACAATTTCGGCTTCAGGGTCTTTGAACCAAGAAGCAAATCGCTTACATTTTGAATTTACTCTGGAAGCAAATAAATCGATCTCGGGTGTTCCTAAGTCACGACAAATTTGTTTAAACGCATAATCCGCTATTGAAAACTCTGTTTCAGTATTTAGTTGACGCGATTCCTGATCGGCTATAATGTTATCTTGCGATTTTATATAAGACGCGAAAATAAATAAATTGCGCTCTTCACACCACTGCCAAATTTGCTTAGCGAGGCTGTTAAGATATGGGAACTGAATACCACCCATTCTGTTCACATATGAAATGGCTGTAGTGTTATCTATTCGTAAAAGTATTTCGCAATTGACAAGATCTGCTGCAAAGCATTTAAGTCCAAAGAATGCAGCCAATAACTCTAAATAGTTTATATGTTGCTTCTTATCTTCGTTGGACCAAAAACCGTGCGACTTACAACCATTACAGTGTATCCCCCATCCCGATCGAGAACTGTCACTGAATATTTCCAATTTGAAGTTGAAACTGTGAAAAGTGTTTTTGCCCGAAAGATGACTTCTCCACCAGCTAAGATCCATTAGAATCTCTGTAGACATTCTCATCTTGTGATTGTCAGACCCTCTGGACTTTCTCAAGGCAAAAAATTTTTCGCATACACAATTCTTGGTGTACAGCCACCCATACTTGATTGCCGGACATGCTGCAATCAATTTACCAATCAATTTCGCAAACTCCCGGATAGGGAAGGTTGTTTTATTCACGAACCTGCGCATATGTTCTGAAATACTGTTTTGTTCGTCTATAGGTAGGCTTAAGGACATATCTATTGTATTATATAGAAACCCCAAATACCTAATTTCTGTGCATGGCACAAGTACACTCTTCTCTAAATTAATCAAAAAACCTAAATCTAACAACACTTTCTTAGTTATGTTAACATTTGTCACACACTAAGCATAACTACGACCCATTAATAGAAAATCATCAATATATAATACTGACAAGAAACCTTGTTGTCGTAAATGGGATAGAACTGGTTTCAGCAGTTTCGTAAACGCATACGGCGCTGTATTTAGACCGAAAGGTAAACAAGTATATTCATACATTTGTCCGGAAAACACAAACCTGACATATTTCCGATGATGTTTATGAATAGAAATCAAATGATACGCATCTTTGAGATCTATGGATGCAAGAAACATGTTTTTGTCCAATAATCTTGTTACCGTTTTATGGTCCTCCATTTTGAAATGTTCTGTCGTAATAAACTTGTTCAGGTCTTTTAGATTTAAAATCAATCTAAACGAGCCATCCTGTTTGGGTGTGAGAAAAATATTTGAAAGAAATTGGCCGTGCTCGAAAGAACATTTTCTTATAGCGCCCAGGAATAACAAACGCTCGATTTCTAAATTTAAAAATCTCTGTTCTGTTGAAGACCATTTCAATTCCTTAGGAACAGATTTCTGAACAGGCGTCTGAGAAAAAGGTATTAGATAACCTTTAACCCATGATAACAGAAGATTATCCGACGTTAACGAATTCCAAGCTGGTAAAAAGAATTTTAGTCTTCCACTTATATAAATTACCTTTAAAGGGTCCGCTTTTGATAGGCTTGGGTTTGATTGGTTCTGTATGCTGGACGAATTTCTTTCGTTGATCGGGGGGCTTTCCGAGGAGTCTTGCCTTCGAAACTCGGGGTTTTCCGTGAGTATTTCGGCCTGCCTCGATAACCCTTGACATTCACTCGAGGCAGACCCTTGAAGTTTACCGAAGACGTCAGTGTAGCAGTAACTGCTTTAGGCATCAGGTTGAATGACAATTTTTCCATTTCACGAGCTGCTTTCACCCGATCACCCATATTTTGTCCAAACAGCCAACCACCCACAGATACGTTAGAAAGGGTTCCTCGGAGCTGTTTGTCTACACTCACCGATACCAAATTCCGCCTACACGTAGATTCTTCATGGTGAATGTCCGAAATTAAACGTCATCACGGAGGCATTCGACCAGCACTCTGGTATGTGCCCCCTCCCCTTTTTCCAACAGAATTGTCAGCGCTTTGCCGATTGCCACCAGGGCAGCCCCCTTCTGGTCTTGGCGCTTAGAGAGCTTCAAGTCCCGCTGCTTGTGTTGTTCCGTGAGAACCGATAAAACCTCTGAGTTCAGTTTGGGGGCATTAGCAAGGCTTAAGTTAGTGGGAGGAGAATATTTTTTACATATAGTTGCTAAAACCTCAGAATCCAAACCTTCCTGTAATATATGGGACCAAATTTGAACAAGTTCGCTGTTAATGTCTTTTGTAGAGGCTTGATCGTCCACAGAGTTTTTCCCCAAAAGTCTCAAAATTTCATCCGAGATGGCAACACTGCGTTCGGCAACACTGCATTCAGCAACACTGCGTTCGGCAACATCGCACTCGGCAACACTGCGTTCGGCAACATTGTTCCTCTCCAAGGTTCCGTCTGATATGGCAACATTGCGCTCGGCAAGGTTATTCTCTGCTGCAAAAATGGAAGAAATTATGATACAACTGTACCTGCCTTTAGAAATCGCCAAGACTCGTTGACAATATATGAAAATAAAGGCGACGCCTTGTATTTAACGTATTTGCCAAAACTCGTTGGTCTTGCGCTTATCAAAACTCGTTGACATCATAAACTACCTTACATGTGGCCAAAACTCGTTGGCATTGTAAAAAAAAACAAACTTGAATTTGTCAAAACTCGTTGACAAGATAGGAGAATTGTGATGCCCTACATTTCCAAAACTCGTTGACAATGTAATAAAATAATCGTGTGTTTGTCAAAACTCGCTGACCACAGGATTATACCGAAACGCGTCGGTAATACCCAATTTGGGTATAACAAGGGTACCCTTGCTTAGACAGACGTGTGTAACCAAAACTCGTTGGTAGCCATATTGTTTTTGTTTTATACACAATTATATTATGCATCCATAGGATACTTACGTCCCGATAAAGAGGTATCGTAGTTTACCAGGCCTACGGTAGCAGGCCGAATGATTTGGGAGAGGCTTCTTTCACCAACACTACTATCCGAGCTTTCGGGTGACGGCTCTCGTCTTTTGCGCTTCTTCTGAAGTCGGGATACCTTACGAGACAGCTTGTTCAACTGGGTCATGAATCCGGACAGCTCATCAGACGAATCCGAATCTGCATCAGACAGGGCCTGAGCCCGTTTTCGCACATTTCTACTCATTTTCCGAACCGGTCACGTTACGGGCGACGTGACTCCACTCGCACGCAAAAGAGTAATGAATCATCAACAGCGTTCGGTGGTACGCGAGGGTAGGACCGGTCAGATGTTATTTTATTTAGCTTTGGAATGCGTGGCGCCACCTAGCGGCGAGAGTGAACTACATAGTGATCTAGAGGAAGAGACGGGTAATATAATTAGTACCAAATCAATTTAAAGCCTATTACAACAATGTACAATCAATTATTGATTGCTTTGAAGTTGAAATCGAAAAACCTTCAAATGCACTGCATCAGGCTAAAACATGGAGTGAATATAAAAAGTGTAATACTATAAAGTATCCTGTGAGTTGTACTCCTAATGGGCTGATAAACTTTATTTCTAGTGGGTTTGGAGGACGTACAACTGATGTACAAATTGTTGAGAAATCAGACTTCATTAATGTGATTCCAGAAAACTGCATAATAATGGCAGATAGAGGTTTCAAACACATAGAAACTATACTGCATAAAAAAAGCGCATCATTATTAAGACCTCCAAGCATTAGTGGGAAACAAAAACTCACCAAAGCAGAAGTTAATAAAACTAAAATAATAGCTGATTTGAGAGTCCATGTTGAACAGCTCATAAGGAGACTCCGTGAATTTGCTATGTTAAAACCACATGCCTGTATATGGTCCAGAATAGTCCACCTCCTAGACCATGTGGTTATCATTGTGTGTGGTTTAGTAAATTTACAAGAACGGCTCATCAAGAAATAAGCATTATTGCCATGCAAGTCTTGTTTTTCCATATTTTAATAGTACATAACTGCAAGTGCAAGATTTTTTTGTGGTATATTAATACTAACACAGTGAATTTCTTAGCTACATATTGTGCACATCCATAAATCTAAGTATGAATAATTTTGTAAAACACCAATTTTTCCTTTTGTAGGTTAAAATACTTGTATAGGACTTATTTGAGGCTGTTCGTTACATAATATAATTTTTTGGAGTATCTATAATTTTTTATTCCCCTTACGACACATTATCATCTAGAAACCTCAAAATAAATAAATTAGGCTGCTGCCCCATTAGTGCGTTGCGTTGCGTCGTCGCAGCGGATCATCGCATTGTATGCCCCATCTGCATTGTGACAACGCACGACATCGCAGCGCAATAGGACGACGCTGGCACCTCCACCGATGCCACGCACCTCAGTTAGTTTCCAAAATGGATCGGAATAAACGTGTTCTATTGTTGCTTTTATTACGCCACCGCCGGAAGAAACGTAGAAATAATAAAAGAATGTGGGTATCTCCTTTGATTGCATTAAGAAATAGTGACGGTCAGTTTTTTATGCGGGAGTATAATGAATTATTGTCGGAAGAGGAAGAATTTTTCGATTTTTTTAGAATGAGTGTGGCTAGCTTTCAATATTTGGTGAAAATCTTGGAACCACATTTGAAAAAGCAATATACCAAGTTCAGAAGACCTATAGAACCAATTGAAATGATTGGTGTTACATTGAGGTAAGTATTAAAAAACATATTAATCAGAAAATCAGTTATGCTTTACTTTTAACTAAGAGGCATTTTTCGCACAAATAAGCTTAAGTATTATTATTAGAGAGTAAAGCGAAGTTATATTCTTCTTCCTGGCTATCATCGGTAAAGTTACTAAATGTAGTGTTCGATGAGTATTCAGCTGTTTGATACCCCGATGGCGATGGTGGTAGCGGTTGGACCTGTAATCCAGTTTGATATTCACTTGACTCCGATGGTGTTGATATATACTGCTGCCCAGTTGGCAATCTGCGTGACTGCCATGTTGTTGATTGACTCTGTTCCCCAAACCTCATTTCGGTAATCATTTTGATCACTCCACTTTGAAATGTTAATGTTTGTAATTCAGTAAAATCAGCTAAAGAAGGCAGAATTCCTTTGAAAAACGACAAATGGCGGTTTTCTTTTTCTTGCAACGCCTCTAACGCTTGCGCCTCGAAATCATCTATTGCTTGGTTTGATCTCTTCCGATTTGCAGGCACATAGCGAGAAGGGCCTGGTAGCGATGGCACTCCTTGTGTCAGAAGTGGAGATGGTGTGTTTTCGTTTTGTTCTGTTTCTTTATCAAGGCTACTATCAGTTATATTTTGGGCAACTTTCATTAAAAAAAGCAACTGATTATAATAATGATATTTTTTTATTTTTTTCGCCGCTGATCCAGATGAATTATTTTCTTTTAATTTTTTTACATATCGAGTGAAGTTGTCTTTTACACTTCTCCATTTTTTTACCACCTCGTTGCCTGCAAGGAAAGAAAATAATGTCTAAGCAAGATAATTTTTTTGTTTCTATTTCAGGTACTTGGGCACCGGAAATTCGATGAAGGATTTGCGTTTCAAATTTAAACGTGGAAGGTCAACAATCTCTAGAGCTATATCGTCAGTTTGTCAAGCTATATGGAAATATCTCAGGCCACAGTACATAGAAGACATCACCATAGAGAAACTACAAAATATTGCATCAGATTTTGACCGTAAAGCTAACTTTCCTCATTGCTTTGGGGCAATTGATGGGAAGCATATACGTTTAATGAAACCTGTCAAGAGTGGGTCCCTGTTTTATAATTATAAACATTTTTTTTCAATTGTTTTACTGGCGGTTGTAGATTCCAACTATAAATTTGTTTTTGTCGACGTGGGTGCATATGGAAAGGAAAGTGATTCGACTATTTTTAGAAATTCGAAACTATATCAGATTTTAACGAGAAATGAACTACCATTGCCTGATCCTCAACCACTTGTAAATGATCATGGTAACGAGCCACCAATCCCATATGTACTCGTCGGTGATGAAGCTTTTAGTTTGAGTAATCATGTTATGCGTCCATACGGCGGCCAAAAACTCAATGTGAAACAAAGAGTTTATAATTATCGCCTTAGCAGAGCTCGTAGATATGTAGAATGTGCTTTTGGGATCATGGCAAATAAATGGCGTATTTTACATAGACCACTTGACACAGCATATGATTTAACTACTGATATTGTGAAAGCATGCTGCGTTTTACACAATTTTGTCACAGAACACGATGGTTTACGGCAACAAGAAAAGATGACAATAAATAACTTCCCACAATTGCAACCCCATATCGATGCAGAATCTTTAGCTGAAAATTTTATCAGAGATCAGTTTGCTAATTATTTTATGAGTTCCGTGGGGACTTTACCATGGCAGTTGAAGAAGATATAAATCAATATTTAATACGTATTAACTTATAACTATAACATATACTTAGCTCACCAATTTTGTTCTTTTTTGTATCATCAAATTCTTCGTAATCTGCATATAAATGTTTACACACTGAAACCCATTCATTTGCTTTCCGAAATTTATCATTGTAATGTTCATGGCCTTTATCCCATATGATCGGCCTTTCTTGCACCAAGGAGATGAGAAAATCTATATCAATCTCCTCCACACTCATGCTGAGATACGAAAATATCGTGTTCGTATGTCTCCTTCACTCCTCTGGCAGTGCAACACTGTCCGTCACAACTGTCCGTCGTCGCACTGAAGCTCCGACATCGCAGCGCAATCCGTTGAAACGTCGCGAGCGACGACGCAGCGCTCTAATGTGGCATACCATCTAAAATACATGGAAAATGACGCAGGCGTTGACGCTGCGACGACGCAGCGCAACGCAACGCACTAATGGGGCAGCAGCCTTACTCGAA